AACGGTGCCGACAATATTATCGTTTATCGCAATAATTTCCAGAAAAATTTATCGTCCAACACAATTAATTATCGTGACAGGCCTAGTAACATTTACTGTGTTACGGTCTTGAGCTTCAATAATCAGTATATATGTGTTTATTATCCTCTCAAGAATGGAAGTAGTCACCACATACAGAGCATCAACTAGTTCCTGAGCAGTCTCCTTCACATGCTGATATACAAGAGAGGGAGTTACACAGTCACAAGATGGAGGAATACCGGTTCAAAGCATGGATGTATAATAAGAACTGGATACAGCGTGGGAGGCGGGGTCTCGTTCTTTCCTATGAGAGCTGCTCATTGGCGCATGAGGACAAAATGGCCCAACTTTTGAGAGCGAAACGTCACAGATTACCCATCATGCCTAGCTGTCAGAGCAGAAGAACCTGTATGTGCGCTCACAGAGCATGCGCCCCTTAAGCTCCGCCCCCGGAGCTCCCACTCTCGGCGTACTAGAATGAATGGAGACAGAAAATACTAGATTTGGCTTTTAGTGTTTTTTTACAACTTTAAGGACCTAATGATTCTAATAAGGGCTAAACAATAGTTCATACTGGGTAGTTTATTTAGTTTAAAAAAAAGTATCCGCTGATTTAAAGACGTCTCTTTCCCAATGTTAGTCAATGGGAAAAAGTTGTTTTGCGCCGGGTGACGTCACGGACTGATACGGAAGTTGCAGTACCGCCGTTTCGACACAACGAATATTGGCACAGAGTCCGGCGCTCTTCCTGGGGGCTTGGTTCAAAGCAGTATTCAATGTTTGATTCAGATTAGCTCCACGTCAGAAATGATCATGCTTGTCATATGTCTCTCTCCATAGAGGCTGAATCATCATGTTAATCACATAGCTATCATATGCCTCAAACAGTCCTGATGCTCTTCTAGGTAATCACACATCCTGTCATGTTCACAGCTAGAGTTGGGATACCTTTGTTATCATGTGGACTCTGATATTCGAAGAGTACATTCAGTATTTTCCCAGTAATCCTAAATGAAATATTCCGATGCCAGGTGGGTTTTGGAAGCTCCTTCTGTGGTCAAAACCTTCCCAGTTATAAAATACTCGCAACCCTCACTGTGCAGGGTTTGTTAAGACGTTATGCTTCTTGTTTCCAGGAGCTCCGTGTCTGGCAGAGTACAGGGATGGGAAATATTACCGGGCCGAACTGATTGAGATCACCAGCGTGGAGCCCGTCATGATCCTGGTGAAGCACGTGGACTTCGGCTCCGACGACACTCTGCCGTCCAGCAAGTACGAACCAAACACTGCAGAGGATCCTTTGTTGAGCTCTGAGTGTCATTCGATCCTCTGGAAGTCACTGATCTACAGATGTGTTTGAATAGATAGAGATAATTTATTGATCCCAATTTGGGAATATTTTGCGTTGCAGCCATAAGAGAAATAAAGACACTAGAAAAAAAACAGTATTTTAGAATAGAAATAAAATAGCATTACAAATGTACAAAATATATACATGTGGAAAATACACATATGCAGGATATTATTGTGAAATAAATTACAAAGATTATTCAAGTGAAATGTTTACTGGAGTTTAATGCTCTGATGTCTCCACTTCCTGTCAGGCTGCGTCAGATGTGTGCTGAGCTCATGAGTTTTCCGTCCCGGGCGCTCAAAGTGAAAGTGGCCGGCTTCAAGCCTCCGAGAAAGAGCCGGCAGCAGCAGCAGGATGTTCTGCCCTACAGCCCGGCCTGGAGCGTGAAGGCCGCCATGGACATGATCGACATGCTGCACGGGAACATCACCGCCTGTGTGGTGGTGAGACACTCAGCATGACTGTTTCATAAATAGAGCTGTCATTATGTTTCACTTCCCCAGAACGATAGCTAACTAAAAGCACCATGTCATGTACAAATGAGTTGTAATGTGTGAGAGATTATGCAATGTTTTTAGTGTTTGTTTTTTTTCACTTAGAGTTTTTTCAGACAAACAACATAAACAAGCAACAGTAGCAGAGTACATTAAAACAAATGGTTGCCAGGCAGCCAGTATTCTACCGTTTGGAGGAAGTACATTTCTGTATGATGGACATGATGGTTTTTAGTGTTGATTGTTATGTACCTACCAACGGACTGCATATGAAAATGAATTATTAGCTCCCTATCAGAAACAATGCCCGACTGTTTTGGACGTAATATGGTCGGTGTTTACATTAGCATCGCTAACACTCAGAGCTAACCTGTACTGGAGAGCATGTGTGTGAAGAAGCAGGAAGTAAAAAGGAACTCACCTTGTGGTGTAACTGGCAAGAGAGAAAGCCTTTGAGCTCCATACTGTTTCAGAAATAACCAATCCATGATATGGCGTTTCATCACCGCAGTATTTAGTTTAGACGGTAGCTTCCGGGTCCCGCATGAGCTCAGACCCCTCCTTTTTTATTTTTTAAAGCTTTATACCCAAATCAGCCCTTTAGAAACAGGAAGTGAAATAGAGGGATATGAGGCATGGCTAGAATGGGTGATCTGTTTGGTATTTTGAGCAAAACACTTCATAGACATGTTTTTTATATATTTTTATATATCTATCATGCTATAGCCTAGAAATAGCATGATAGGTGACCTTTAAGTTTAATTTAATAATAAGTTTAAAAAACGGTTTAAATCCTCAGATTATATTGATTATACTTCTGTTTCTGTTGTCATTGTTATCTTCAGTTAGAACAATTATCCAAAGATATCATTGAGAAATAAAAATATTGATTGTCAGAAATAAAAATATTTAGCATGAGTCATTATTTTATATGTATTTAATCAACTCAAACAAAGAGAAGAAGAAGAAGACAACTAAACCTGGCATTTAGAAAATAGAAGTTTAAAAACATCACATTTCATTGGACGTGGTTTCTCAGGGTATATTCAGGAATCCTGAAGTCAGATGTAAAACCTTTTAAGACCTTTTCTAAGACCCTCTCCGTACATTTTAAGACCTCATCTCCACTTGGAGTTCTAACCGGTTACCTTGGCGACACACTTTACCTCACATTGACTATATACAGTGTTGATTGTCCTTCCTCCTTATCTTCCAACCATTTGGACGCCGACTTGCATTTTCCCCATAACGATGTTGTTTAACAACCGGCGTAAACGGAGCTTCGCGCGCTATCAAGCAGTGAGCGTGATGTCCTGTTCAGATGACGTCCAATCCAACGGGAGGCCATAAATAAACTACACAGAATCACACTACACACCTACGCAATGATTACATTCAGGCAGACTGTAGAATACAACCTCTTTGCACAATTTATATACTTATGAAAACAAGCTACAAAATTTAAAGTTTAATACTTTTTAATAGTCCTTCATTTTCGCTAAATTGATTTATCAACTTCT